TCTCTTAGACATTGACTGTGACCCCGGGTGCCGAAATTCTCACTAAGGGTGCATGGGATGCAGAGGCTACTACTGGTTGTGGTTGCTGTTGCTGAAGCCTTTCTATCACTTCTGCTTGGCGGGCTGTGACCTCAGCTTGGCGGGCAGCATCTAGCTGCATAGTCTCAATGGTCTAGTAGAGTTGACGAAGCACGTCTTCCATGCTGACCTGGGGATGTTGAGCTATCAGAACTGGCGAATACCCTCTTTCTAGAGTAGGAGTAGAAGACTGGGCCTGACTGGGCGTAGGTGAAGTAAAAGGTAACTGCTAGATTGGTGAATTCTTCCTGATCCTCCTCCGTCTGGTAACCGGTGGAAGTGAAACAAACACTAGCTGTCCTTTGACAAGATCCCCGGATCTGCAAATCCTTCTCACACAGGTCTAGAGTGCTTGGGGGGTAACAGGATCGTCCGAAGCAATGATGAAAAGCTACCTTGCAAAAATAAATAAAGCAAAAAAAGAAAAACAAAAATTAGAAACCGCACAGCACCTCTGCTCAGATTCTAATCAGTACACTAATGTAATCAAAGCTGTAGAACCATGCAAAATACTGAATTCTGCCTCTCAAAAACTGATACCCAGACTTGTAACTAATATATAGATTCCTGAAAAGTTTTACTCTAAAAGCACATAACAGTCAAGTGAGATCCAAAACACCCCTATGATGGGGTAGGGTTACCCTGTCCTAGTTTCGTCAAGAGCTAGGGTTAACTATCCAAGAAATGTCATTTCACACAATCCTGCATTCGGGTGAGCATCATGTCCTAGTTTGGAATAGTCTCTATGGCTTCCGATATGCAACTAGGCCAATTAGTCAAATGGGTTCCTCATCAAGACTACCTAATATACCTCTCACACCTAACACCAAGAAGTGAAAGGAGGATCAAACGGTACAGCGGTAGTCCAGATCCAAGAGTTGTGTTCCCATCGTGGCAGAGCCCGCAACTGGTAAGCCTTTTGGCAAGCTTTTCCAAGCGAGCCTCCGGCAAACTGTTCAAGAATAGCAGATCGCAAACACTGTGACTTAAGCACACCGATGCAAATGCAAATACAAAGAAACACATAAGTGTAAATAAAATAACATATCATGAGTTTGAGTCAAGTTCTCTAAATCCCTAACAGAGTCGCCAGAAACTGTGGCTCACCTTTTTCGCGCCTCCTTTCGAAAGGTTTGAAAAGAAAGGCCCACAGTTCAGACTCCCACGGTTCTGAATCTAATCTCACAAGTGCAATGTGAAACTGATAATCACCAAAGAGTCCAAATCTGGCAAATCTTTTTAGAAAATTGATTTTGATTCAAAAAGTGCCAAAGTTGGACTACTTTGCCAGATATAGAGTGTAGACTCGACTTTCTTCGTGCGCCCCCTTTCGAAGAGGCTCGAATTAGTCCTACAGTTTGGACTCCTGTCACGGTTCTGAATCTAATCTCACAAAGTGCAAAGTGAGACTGATAAACACCAAAGGGTCCAATCCAGTAAATCATTTTGGAAAATCAATTTTGAATCAAATAATACCAAAACTAGACTACTTTGCCAGATTATAGAGTCACCACCTAAATATTTTATTTTGAAAAAATTTAGGAAACCCTGACTCGTGCCAAAGGCCACGTGTCCGTCATCACCAAAGTTGCCTCGGCTCGGGAACTTGGGTACGAGAGGGGAAGGTCATGAAATGAGCACCCTCGCTCGCCCGATCAAAGGATCGGCCTCTACTAAGCATGATATGTTGTTTGATAAACCTCATGTGTTCTTATCCGGTTATTAGCTAACTTTACTATGTGACGCACACACGAGCAAGTATGGACTAAGTCGCGAGAATCGAAACAAAATAACTCATGTTTGTTTTCGAAAATGGTTTGAAGGTGCCACTCTCAAGTGGGCTAAAGCGCAGATTTGCCATCAAACATGATGGGCTTAAAACATGATTTGCCACTTCGCAAAGTGGGCTTAAAACTCACAATCATCGAATTATTCCAATTCAAACAACAAAGCCTTCACCCACAGGCACTCATGCAGTTAATCACTTAAGCAAATAGCCTCATGGCAAGCATGCTATCATGGAAACACTCACACTCATGCAAGTATGCTAAAGCGTAAAGACTTATAGTGTACTCCGAGCCAAAACAAAAAGCTAGTTAGAAACAATGTATGATCCTAACTATGTTAACAATACCTAATGCAACACATGCAATATCCAATTAATAGGCTCGGCTATCTAAGATGGCATATGAATGCAACAATTTGATACACGTATTTAAATAAGTATTGAAATACGATGCAGTTTGAATGATGCGCCGAGCCTTGGTGCATGCAATACAATTGAATGATGCAAACATGCGAGCATAAGGTATGCTAATCGAAAATGCCCCTAAACTAACCATCGAAAGCAGTTAAGTAAAAGGGAGAAAGAAGTGGGGTTGGAAGACATGCACACACACGCACACACACTTATTACAACATTGTGCCCTCTCGAAGGAGGGTCCGAATAAATAAGCTAAGCTACACTAAGCTAAGCTACACTAAGCTAAGCTAATTATTACAAACCAACTAATTAACTATTCTAGCTAATTAATTACAACATGAATTGAATAACTAGCAATGCTAAGCTAATTAAAATATTACAAAACAGATTAAAATAATTAATTTCAACACATGTATTAATTAGTTAAAACTAGCTAATGAAGCAATAAAGTGGCCTCACGGGCGAGGGAGACATGCATGCTCGGTTGGCTTCCTCTCGAAAATCCATCGCCTTGCCATAAGTTGCCTCTGTTTGCACTCTCTTTGATCCCTGAACACTGTACCAGCTTCCAGACTACCTTTGCTCCAAAATAGGAACACTTTTACATAAAAATTGATTGGTGGCTGGTCGGCCACAGAAGGTGGCTGTCGGCCACAGAAGGTGGCTGTCGGCCACTTTAGCTGGCCGATCGGCCACTGCTTTTTCCAGACTTATGTTTTTGCTGCAACAGAGAGCAACAGAGGCAAAGCAATGCATTTTTCAAGGAATGTGTGTACCGCCACCCTCCTTATCATTTCTCAAGCTCAAAGGAGTATGGCACTTGGCTCTCAAGCCATCAATCAAGCATTTTCAATGCATGATGGATAGAAAGTCAATGAATGCACAAATAAGACTCAAAGGACCACCACAGTGTCATGCATGATCAAGGGTGATGGCGACCAAGAAACGTGACACGTTTCATCACTTTGAGTATAAAACATCCCATATTTCTTGTGTTTGGATTAATGTCCAACCCAAACGCATGCAATGCAACACAAATGCTTATCTTGTTCATGTTTTACTTTACTCATTTTGTTTACACATTTTACATTACCAATTAATCCTTTAACCGATTAAGTCCAATCTCAAAGTCCTCTAATTGGAAAGATGGCCTAAGCTACAAGTGCCTTGAGCATGAAAGAGGCCTCATGCTATTGGCTAGGAGGAACCCTCAAGAGAGGGTTAAAACCATTCGGCATGAGAGCCTCAAGTTCACACTCAAGCCAACAAGGGGCTCAAGGCCACTTTCAAAACAAAACAAAAAGTGAAGAATAGAGGGAGGTTGCAGACTTTTCAGTGCCAAAATGGCATGAAAAATAATACTACAACATGTAAGCAACTCATGTACAACATGTTAAGAGCCAAAACCATCAAAACTAGTGAAGAGCACTACACTAAAGGCATGCAATATCAAGCTCAATTGACCAAACCAGTTCTGGACAGAGCTAAAACATGCCAAAATAGTGGCTAAAACATGCTGAGATAGAAGCATAAAAGGCAAGAAAAACATGCTCATGTGTTAGCTTACAAACAAGGCTCAAGGCACAACTCTCAAAAGCAATGAAAGAGTGAAATAAGTGAGAGTATGACAAAGTTATATGCATTGAAATCACATGTAAAATGATGCTACCACTGCAGGAATTTTTAGCATTAGCGACGTTTAAAAAACGCCACTAGAAGTCTCAAAAACACCGTTAAAGGATAAAGTGACGTTTGTAACTTGCGTCGAGGATACGGCCGCCGTCTTAGGTATATGACGTTTATTAAACGTCACTAATGACTTTAGCCGGCGCTTTTTAAAACGCCGTAATTCTTAAACATCCGTTACATGAAAACCGTCACAGTTAAATACTAACGTCATATGACGGCATTTAGTGACGTTTTTTCAAAAACGCCATCTTTTCCTATTACAGTTATATGCTCACATCATATAACGACATTTAGTGACGTTTTTTTCAAAAACGCCATCTTTTCTCATTTTTTTAAGAAAATAACACCTGCTATTTATAGAAAGAAAAAATATAAATAAATTTCATTTGCACTCATTAAATCTGCAAAATAAGGATTTAATTGTCAAATTGCACTATTAGCTAAATAAGGTCAAATCTATAAGTCAAGAATTCTATACAGAAGCACATAAACTAAAAAAATATCAAACAAGTTTAATTCCTCTTTCATCCTCTTCCACATTGTTAAAATGTTACATTTGACAAACAATAGAAGAAAAATTGTAACATTTCCTACTTATTTATATTTAACCACAAACCATACCCCAAAAAATGTTAAAAAACCATCAAAATATTGGATAACCCATTCATTGGCCAACGCTTATTTCAAGGAACAAGCTGGCCAATGCTCCTACCAAAAACTATTGGAATCAGTCATAAAAAAATAAACTAACCCAAAAATAAAAAAAGAAAATAAAAAGTTAGCAAATTATAATCATTGCCAATCCCACCGCAGTTTTTACTATACAATATTAATCAACAAGTTTATGTTTCAGAAATAAGCTACAACACAAGTTCTAAAAAAGTCTAGGCATCAGTAGAACCTCATGTTGATGTAGGCAAGCTTCAAATCTTCTCCTATTTCTTTCTGTAGTTCGAGAAAGCCAGATGAACCAAGCCCAATATCTTCAATTTCTAGTGCTTGAATACCTATGCCCAAAAATTTTCCCAAAGGTGCTCCAACTTTGCTGGAGGACAACAATATCAGAACCAATAAATCTGGAAATGAAATGACAAGAGCGGAAGTCTAAACTACATAAGCCAAACTAACCTGCCAAGGCCATTTTCTCCAATAGATAGAGAATCTAGTGGCCTCTTTAAAGTTGAAAGAACACCTACAAGTTGACTCACTCCATTACATGAAAGCTCGCAATTTTCCACTTTCAAATCAGCAAAGTGAGAGTCCCCTTTCAGACATCTCAACAAAGTAGGGGATTAAACTCCTGAAAAGTCCGGAACAAGTTGTAAGACAGACTGAACTGGACAAAACCTTGTCCCAACTCAACAACAAAAAACAACATATCACTATTTTCATTTAAAAAATCAAACTAAAATTTACAAGTGGAAACCAAAAATTTAATCAACTCTTTAAGGACTTAAACCTCTGAATCACAAGGCCTTTGATCCAGATGCTTGAAATTTGTCAACAACCCATATACGGCAAACACTCTAGATTATGAATTTAAGAACACCCAGTTTCAAAGAAGTGAAAATTTGGGTATCAATCCCTTGCCATAATGTACCATTGGAGTCTCTGCCGCTGTGTCGCCACCCGTCCCTCTTCGTCTCTCTGATTTCAGAACTGAGAGAAAAGAAAAGAGGGGGAGGGAGGGGGGAGGGAACTATGTTCAAAACAACGTCGTTTGGTAGCACTACAGAGACCGTGGTAGAGGATCCGGACACTGTGTTAGTGTGGATGGTGATGATGTCAGTGGTGCAGTGATGGTAATGATGATAGGATGTCAATGACAGTGGTGATGGTGTTAGGATTCCTTTGATAACTAAATTTTTTTTTCATTTGACTTCCCAAACATCATAAAATATTTTTAAAATTTTGTTCTTGAAAATACAAAAATAAATTTACCTCTCTTAATACCCCACCCCAATTCTGAAGCTTCTAGGATGGACTGTAATGGTGGGGTTCAGGCTCCCCTTAGAAGTCGGACCAACTCCACCATTTTTCAGAAGAGACATCACTGGACATATGTTCATATATGGCCGCAAGCAGGTTAAAGGACATCATTTACTCTCCTACAATTACCAACTCAGGCAGTAAAGATAAAGAGAGAAAAATAATTAACCTTAAAAATTAAAACATAATAATAATAAGGTCATCTGACACCGTCATGGATTAAAAACCCATCCAAAAACTTCAGGTCCACAATCATTTACTACAAGCTCTAATCCTCAACAACCGAGTTGACTAGAGATATCAATACCTGTTGGACGCCTAAAGAATTTTTGCAGAAACAATAATATTAGCTACACCCTTGATGAAAGATTAAAAGCACCAGGGAAATCAATACAGCAGGACTCCAATGTAGATGTCCTGTAAGTTGTAACACTGACGTGTGTGTATGGAAAAGCTAAATTTAGAGAAATCTAGTGTCCGGCATGGACATACTCCCGCACCATTAAGGACACCAATTTTCTTCCTAAAAGAAACAGACCTGACTGTTCATGCAGAAGTCATCCTCCATGAGTTGCTTCCGAGCAATATCTTTACACACGACTAACTGTTGCAGGTAGCTCAAGGACAAACCCACAGAATAGATATAGCCTGAGAACTATACTTATCAAAAAACTGATTACGTCATTTAAGCAAAAACATATACGCAAAATAACAAATGGAAGAATCACAAACAGATAAATATTAACTGCAAATCAAAAAGGAGTTCCACCAATCACAATATATCAGTTCACTCAGCCGGGGATAATTGTTTAATATCAAGAAAAGAAGGGAAGGAAAAACTTAAACCAGTTTCCATAATACTTCAAACCTGAAGCTATTCAAGCAGGTCTACCCAAATATTCACATCTTCACGTCGACGCATTTCTAGCACAAAAGCATCAAGTAGCCTTCAGATACATGAAAAAACAGCAGTCTTTAAAGAGCCAAACAGACCATACCAAAAGTAGAGATGTGATCAATTAGAGGCCACCCGAACTTTCTACTCCAGTTTAGATGCACCCAATTCATTCTTAGATTTTGACATTACCTGCAAAAAGAGCAACAAATAGCCTGCATTAATGGAAAGAAGTTGAGATTCGTTGATCCATGACAACTTGGGTCTCTTAGGTTCCTGAGTTCAACACTCATCAATACATCATTCTTAAACTAGAAAAGCAATTTATTATTATTATTTTTTATTATTATTATTTTTTTTTAATGACTACATTTTATAATATGTAGATCACAAGAAACTCCAATTATCTCACAATGTTTTCTTAAATAATTACGAAACAAGAAACCTCCAGAACTTTCCTAATCACTTCCAAATGGGCAGAAAATATGATATCAATGAGAAAACAACCATGAAAGATGCTACCACTGGGAAAACTTGTGTATAAACTATGAAGCAAGCCTGAGTGGTACTTTCACATGCATGAACAAATACAAACTGCACATATTTGCACACAATCAAGTAGTGGCGGAGCCAAGATTTTGATTCATAGCGGGTACCATTAAGTCGAATCCTTAGCAAGATCATTCACAACCTAAACGGATCCAATTTCCATTTGGTGATAGAACAACCAAAGATCAACAAATCACTATTTTCTTCGTCTACGGTCCTTGAAACAATAATACCCATCACAAAAAAACAAATACAGGGTACTTACAATGCCCTTGTTCCTTCCATAGTTATTAGGTTCTCGGAAAAGATGACTTGTATCACAACGAGCAGAGAAGTTGACAACTGCCCACCGTTCTATTCGAATGGGGGTGAAGAGTTGCTTTAAAAGAATAAAACAAGAACAATTTAACTGCCAAATTAGTTCACAAAGTTGCTGAATTTAAGCAAAATAGGGAATGTAAAAGAATTATCAATTTCTGCAACCCTCCACCTAAAGTTGGAACACTTCTCTTCCATTATTACAAGGAAGATAGCTCGGCCGTTTTCGTGTTCCAACATCAAGGCATGGCATGAATGCGGAATAATTAAGTTCAATGTTATCCACCATCAGCATTCCTCACTTTCAAAGAAAAACTTGGAGAAACAATAAAACAAAACAGCATTATAAGTTTTCAACTGGAATGTATCAAAATAAGAAGTTCCATGCAATTAAACAAGCAAAGCACTTACAATTGCTGATTGCAAGCCTTTTCACTCAAGCCTATGATCTTAAATTCCATGTTGCTGGGCCTTGTCTTAACCGTCATATTTTTTAGCATTTTCTTAGCTTGAACATGTCCAAACAATTACAATTTCAATAGACAAATAATAAAAATAAAATACAGAACAAACTACCAATAAATTACCTTTGCCCAGTCAATATTACGAGGTTCCCGTGCATTCTGATTGGCCAGAAGAAAATCAATCACAGGTCCAGGTGTTAATATCATAGTTGTAGACACATCTGCACAATGAATTGTACGCAGCATTAAAAATGAAAAAATCCCTGAAAGAATGACTGCCTCAACAAAAGGCAACACCTGCATTCAACACCATAAGTTCATTTAGCAAAAAGATAGCAGATGTGGAAACAATAAGAAACACAAACAAAAGGGGAAAGCCGATGGCCTTCCTTGTGGCCTAGTGGCATGGGTGGCAGCACTTAGGTGCTTGCAAAGGTGAGGTAAGGGGTTCAATCCCCCAGGGTGCTAACTTTCACCAATGAAAAAAACAAAAAAACAAAAGAGGAAATGTTAAACAAAAGAGGTAATTATTTCTATATTGTTTCAATATAGACTATCAGTAAAATAGCTCAGTCAATGCATCTTCCAATGACAATTCCCTTGTTTTCTATGATCAATCAAACAAAGGCTAGTTAATTTTCAAGGTCAAATTGTAGTAAAGATATAAGGAGGCTATTGTACGTTATGTATATAAACTAATACCATGATGATTCATTTCATCATGGGCCATAGATAACTTTTTGTTTGCATACGCTGCTCGCTTGGCCGTATTTCTTTTAATTCTCCATTCTTCATCTGAGAAGAAAAAACGATTAATATATTTCAAAAATCTATGTCAAAGATCATGTTCTATAGCATATTACTTCTACAGGCCATAGGATCCCTTTGATAGACCGCATAGTTTGGGAACCATTAAATGGGGTCCAACTCCTTAGAATGAGCCTAATCTATACAAGACAATCAGATTCATCTCTTTAGACCAGTCTTATATGAGACAATGACTACTGAAAAGAAAATGCTATGGACCATGGTAAAATAGTGAAGCTGATTACAACCTACTTAAATTGCAATTCAACCAACTGAAACTTACCTCAGTTTCACCAGCAGTAGCAGCTACTGAATGAGCTACTTCCATCTTCCTATTTTTTTTAAGGAATGCAGCACTCTACAAAAGATTGTATGGTCAAATATGTGAGTTGTGAAGAACTAAAATACTATCATCAAAATGTTTTAGTTTAATATGAAAATATCAGACAGACAAAACCTCTAATGGATCCATGGCTGCATTGGATTTGTAGAATCTGTCCAAGAAAGACCCTTCAACTAAAAACAAAGAAACACCAAAAGAAATCAAATGTAGATGTACAATATATTCATAACTGATGACTCAAATCATCTCAAAAGCATTTGAAGATCCCCCAAGTCTTTGTATCGTATCTTGTTGCCTACAGGAAGCATGTTTTAATGCAGATATAAAAATATGTTCTACCAGTATACAAACATAGATTGAAAAAACTGAAAATAATGAGATTGAAAAATAGAAAGATCAAAGTGAATGAGATTCTATTGAAAAGAGAGCAGACCAAAAATAGCAAGTGAAAAGATTAAAAAGAGTACAATTCGACTGAAGAGAGGCCAGATCGAAGAGCGAGGAAAATAGTAAATCATGTGTTTGAGACCAAATCTGAGAGAGAGAGAGACAAAGAGGACGAGACCAGAGGGAGGGTAGCGACGGGAGGACTAACCTTAGGAGGAGCTTCAACAGGTAGGGCGCATCCAAAGCCATCGCGCTCGAAACCCAATATTTATGATCTCGTCTCCTCATCTTGCTTCGACTCGACCAGTCTTGGTCCCGATCCCAAACCATGATCTCGATCCTTTTTCACTCCTCAGTCTCTTAAGTTCGTGCAAATCAACCGGTTCACCTTCCTCTGCAAAATTATCCGAGTCAGAATCAAGGAAAACAAACAATCGTGAAGAAATTTCAACCAAATCGATTCAAGAATCGATGGATTTAGAAAACAATAGAGCGAGAATCGAAATCGAACCTGATGAATCTCTCAAGAAGTATGCAGAGAGACAGAGAAAACCTAGATCTAGGACGAAGAGAGAAAACAATAGAGAGAGAATGATAGACGGAAAGAGAAATGGAGACGGAGCACCGTTATAAAGCGAAACGCGTGCTTATAAGAGGATGGGGGTGTTTGGTGGAGCTTTTTTGAGCCAGCTTATGGCTTCTGGCTTTTAAAAAGTTATTTTGGACTGTTTGGTTAAACTTTTTTCAAACAGCTTCTGATTCTAACAATTTATTTTAAGTCAAAAAAGCTGATTTTGAGAAGCTGCTCACCCCTTGCTTCTGATTATCAGCTTCTGCTTTGGACATATTAATTCACGGTTATACTCTTAGATTTTTTTTATTTTTTATTTTTTTTAAAAATAGAAAAAGACCCAAATGGACTATAAAATATTATTATTATTTTTTATGAAAAATGTAGACAAATAGTGAATAATAAAAAATAAAAATTAATTGAAAAAGCTATTTCACAACTTATTTAACAAACGCTACTCAGCAACTTAAATCTATAATCCAACAGTAATACCAAACAGATTAACAGCTTCTGATTAAAGTCATAATCTATAATCTGTTAAGCTATAATCTATAATCTGTTTTAACAGCTACACCAAACAGCACCGATAATAACGCGTGTTTTTAATTTCACTTTATGCTTTCCACAGCGTTTGTCAAAAAAACGTTGTCTCAAAAACGTGGTTATAGGTAAATTTTGTTGTAGTGTACAACATGCAATCAACACATACACAACATGTTAGAGGCCTTAAAACACTAAGCTAGTGAAGGCATTTGCACTACAACCATGCAATACAAGGCTCATATGATCAAGATAGCTCAAAATAGAGCTAAAGTAGGCCAAATCAGTAGCTAAAACATGCTGAGATCAAGTCACAAAAAGGTAGAAAAACATGCTCACATGTTAGGCTATCTACACTTGCAAACAAGACACAATGAGGAGAGGCCACCCCCTCCTATTTTGGACCTCAAAACCAAGTTTTTACCACTAAAATTCCCCTGGAATTTAGTGGTTAAAAGGCCAAAAAAAAATTTTTTAAAAGCTTGAAAAAAAAGGCACAACACTTTAACAAACAAGCTACAAAAAGAATAGACCACCCCGAACTCCAAAACAAACCTCAAACCGCCATTTTAAACCATAAAAACAAAGATTTCAGATATTAAAACCAACCTCAAAACAGCATGCAAAGGTGGCCAAACAAGTAACTAAAACTAAGCTTAAATGAGGTGAGCCTTATATCTTTGAAGCACAGCACTAAAACAACAACAAATCTGAGCTAAAACCACTCTTAAGAACTCAAACTAGACCTCCAAGAACCTCAACTCCAAGATGAGGTGTTTGGTTAAGGGTTCTAGAACAAAAGTGTAGAGAATTCTCACTTTCAAGCACAAAATACGAAGAGAGAGAGAGAGAGAGAGAGAGAGAATTCTAGAGAGAGAGAGAGAGAGAGGAAATTTGCTCACAAATTTTTGTAACCCCTCAAATGGGGGAGAAACCTCCCCTTATATAGAAATGCAAGTCAAAAGCTTGCATTCATCCCTCCATACACATGTATGGAGATGGCATTCAGTGATCAACAACTGACACAGCTGGCAAAGAAAATATATGAAAAATGAGAAAAATAGCCGTCAGCCACTTTAGGTGGCCAGCCGGCCACCTCCCCTAGCCAACCGACCACTTCAAGTGGCCGACAAGTGCGAAAAGTGGCCGACAAGGCCCTTTCCCCCTCCAAGCAAGAGGCACCAAGGTTTGGTCCAAAAACAAGCACAAAACAAAAGAAGGTTTAGAGGCTCAAAGACAAGGCGTTCCACCGAGAACTTCGAGCACTCAAAACGAGCACAAACAAGCACAATCATCGAGTGCACACACAATGACATCTAAGTCTTGAGGTCAGTAAAAAATGGGGTGTCTACACAGAGTCGCCACCTAAATATTTTATTTTGGAGGAAATTTAGGAAACCCATGACTCGTGCCAAAGGCCACGTGTCTGTCATCACCAAAGTTGCCTTGGCTCGGGAACTTAGGTACGAAAGGGAAAGGTCATGAATTGAGCACCCTCGCTCGCCCAATCAAAGATCGACTTCTACTAATCATGATATGATTTTTATCAACATTATGTGCTCTTGTTCCGGTTATTAAGTTAGCTTTACTATGTGATGTGCACAATCAAGTATAGACTAGTTTGCTTGAATTGGAACAATTCAATTTCATGTTTGTTTTGTGAAAATGGTTTGAATATGTCACCTCAAGTGGGCTTAAAGTTGCGAATTTGCCACAAAACACAGTGGGCTTAAAACATACATTTGTTGAATCGTTCCAATTCAAACAACAAGCCTTCATCCACAGGCATTCATGGAGTTTAGCATTTATGCACATAGCCTCATAGAAAGCATGCTAATCATGGCAACATTCATATTCATACAAGTATGCTAAAGCATAAAAACTCACCTAGTACTTCAAGCCAAGAAAATATGAGTTAGAAAAACATGCATGATTCCTAACTATGTCAAATGTCTAATGCAACACATGCAACACATGCAATATGCAATTAATAGGCTCGGCTACTAAAATGGCATATGAAGCAATTTAAATAACATGCGATTAAACACGTATTCAAAGAAGATATTGAAATAACAATGCAGTTTGAATGATGCGCCAAGCCTCGGTGCATGCAATACAAATAAATGGATGCAAGCATAAGGTATGCTAATTTGACACATGATGCTCCTAAACTAACCATCAAAAGCGGGTAAATAAAAGGGAGAAAAATGTAGGGTTGGAAAACATACACACATGCACGAACACTTATTACAGCATTACGCCCTATGTATGCTCGATTTCCACCCGAAAAGCCACTGCCTTGCTGCTGAATGCCTCTGTTTGCACATTGAACACCAACAACTCTGTCCACTTCCAGCACACATCTGCTCCACCTTATCAACATATCAACATACTGTGTGTGGAGAAGTGGTTTTAGAAATACTCTTCAGATCCTAGGAGACGCTAGTGATCCTCAGCTAGTCACCTGAAAAGACACAAACACTCCGGTCGGGGGTGTCGGAATTAGCACTCCGATGGACAAGTCAGTTCTTGTACTCAAAATAGCTTGTCTTTTAAGTTAAGCAAAAAGTGATTGTTGCATACCTTTCTCAATCCATTGTTCCTATATTTATACCTGTTCCTTTTGATCCTCGGGGCCAGGGCCTACTTTTTAATCATTGTCCTTTCTCTTATTCGGCTCTAAGGATCTACACTTATTCGGCACATATATTATATTCGGCTTCCCATTCTCGTAGGATACAGCTGATTAATATTAGTCTTCTAAGGTACGCACCTCCTTATTTCGCCATTATTCGGCTCCCACACTGTGCAAATTTCACTGATGGCTGACAAGGGACCAGTCGGCTACCAATGGTGGCTGGTCGGCTACTGATGGTGGTTGTCGGCCACTGATAGCCTGGACTTCCTTGTTGCATCAGAGAGCAAATAGAACAAAACAATGTATTTCTCAAGGGTTGTTTGCACACTTTGCCTCTCCTTTTCATGGGGAAATCGAAGGAGGGACAAAATTTGGTTCATAAACCATTAATCAAGCAATTTCATTGCATGATGGCTTGTGAAACTAATTGTGCAAGTTTAATAAATGCAAAATGAGACCAAAATGACCATCACCCTATCATGCATGATCAAAGGCAATGGAGACCTAAGAAAATGGCACATTTCATCACTTTTGAGTATGAAATGTTCCATTTTCCTTGTGTTCAAACTAACGTCCGATTTGAACACATGCAATACAACACAAAGAATGCTTATCTTGCCTCTTTTACTTGCCAATTTTGTTTACACATTTTAGTTACCAAACCATCCTTTAATCAATTATTCCATTGGTGAGTGTCTTCTAAAGTGAAAGAAGTGTTAACCAAGGGATAGTTTAAGGCATGAGAGAAGCTTCAGGCCATTGGTAATGAACCATCAAAGAAGGATTAAACCATTATGCATGAGCCTCCATCTCAAGCTTAAACAACCCTAAGGTTGAAACAACCCTCAAAGCAAATGAAAAAGAGTGAAGAAATGAAGAAGATTGCACAGATTATAAGTGCTGAAATTAGGTGAGAAAAAGCACTAAAACATGCTATCAACTCAAACCAATGGTGGTTAAAGCCTTAAAACACCAAGCTAGTGAAAGGAATTACGCTTCAACTATGCAAGACAAGACTCAAAAGGTACCAAACAGCGAAAACAGTTGCAAAACAGAGTTCAAAACATGCTGGACTTGAGCCACAAAAAGCTAAAACATTAAGCTAACACATGGGGCTAACTAGGCATGCAAACAAGACACAAGAGGGGGAGGCTAACCCTTCCAATTTTGGACTTCAAAATGAGTTTTTTGCCACTGAAAAACCTCTAAATTTCAGTGGTTAAAAGGGCCAAAAAAGTTGGTTTGAAAGTGATGAACAACGGCACAAATACTTTACAAGCAAAGAAGCAAGAAGGGTGAACCATCCCTTAACTAAAAATGGCCTCAAACCAACACTTTTAGAACACAAAGACAGAGATTTTTTCAATTCAAAATCAGCCTCAAAACAATTGAAAAAGATGGCAAAGCAAGGGTACAAAACAAGTACAAAGAGAGAGTGTTATACCTCTTGAAGAGAAGACACAATTTGGCTAACAAATTCAAGTCACACACACCTTCTAGAGCTCAAAATAAGGCTCGAGCTGCCTCAGCCCAAAGACTAGCAACTTCTATCAAGGGTGTATAGGCAAAAGTGTAGGATTTGTGAGCAAATGTGTATAAAATTGCAAGAAAGAGAGAGAAGTCTAGAGAGAGAGAGAGAGAATTTGGTTCCAAATTTTCTAACCCTCCAAAATGGGGGAGGAACCCCCATATATATAGAAAAACAAGCCTTGAGCTTAGAAACATCCCACCATACAAGTGTAGGCAGATGCAGCTTAGCGTGCCAATAGCTATCACA